AAATTAAAAATTTGTGAATTTTTTTGATATAATTGATCAAATATGACTTGGAATAGATCACAGCATAGCAGATATGAAAAAAAAGATCAAAATGTCCGTCCTAAGGTTCTAGAGAAATGTGTGTGAGTATGAAAATGAGGGTACACCAGAAAAACGAGTCCTGAGGAAACAATGAGGGATCTTGTCAATAGGTTGCTATTTTCTTCTGGTCCAAAAATATCAAGTTTGTCTAGTAGTACATCTCTTAGCCATCGATATAGTGCGCCACTATCTGGAGAAGTCCTTAAACTACTGGAGGATTCAATGCTACCAACTAATTCAAATCAAAACTCGAATTCTGTATGTAACTAGTATTTTTAACCTCCAAATGATTCGGAATTTTTAAAAGAAGCTCCCATTTTAGGAGTATTATTAGTTATAACGAAAACTGTTATTAAATGTATTAAAAAATGTTTAAAAAGCTTCAAAATAGTAATTTTCACCTACAAATTTAAGTTTTTCTAAAAAAATCGGCGCTTAGTGGGTTAATAAAAAAATAGCCAAATTTTTTTATAAAATAATTAAAATTGTCCATCTAAATCTATTCTAATCCAAAATATCGATAAACATACAGTAAAATATCTACTTTTATTTTCTGCGCGCTAGATCTGCATTTTTCCCACTGTGCGTCTGTTGAAATCACTATAGAGATCGCAATATTTAACATACAGATATGAAATTTTGTACAGACATTGGTATTTCTCCTAGCAGTGACGTAAGCAGGATGGGGGCCGTTCAATCCGTTCGCATGATATTATAAAATTAATTTATTGCATAATTTTGACCATTTTGTGGGGGAAGTACCTGAAGGAGTGGACCAATGGGTCCCATCTTCGGACTTTATCTAGGCTTGGTAAAGATAATAGGTTGTGCAAAGTTGGCTAAATCTACAACAGAAATCTTAATTCCAAATTTCAGGTTTTCAGTTCTATCCTTTCAATCAACATCCAAATTGTACTAAATTTAGTACCATATATACCTTTCGTACCAAAAAGTACGAATTTCATAATCTACCTCAGTCCTACACTCCAACTGTCATTTTAATTCCCAATTTGAAGACTTCAGCTCTATCTGTTCACCTAAATCCAACTTCCACCAAATTTAGTACCAATTAAGTACTTTTCATACAAATAAGTACGATTTTTTAAAGCTAATTCCGATTATCAAGATTCCATCTCTACACACTCAACTGAAGGTAAATAGTACGGAATTTAGTACCATTTTACACTTTTTATGCACATAAGTACGAATGTCTTAAACCATTTCCGTACATCAACACCACTTCCCAACATGTATTCCATTTAAAATGTCAAGATTTCAGCTATATATGTTCAATATCCAGTAGTGTTTGGCGGGTTATTTGGGATACCATTTGTATTTTGTTTTTGCAAAATAGTCAGGCTTAATCCCAGTTTGTTGTTTTTATAAAAAACAACTATTTATTAGTGGGGAATGTATGGCATTGTCCGCCGAGGGGTAAGGCAGGGAAGACTATAGTTTCGGATCTCGCCACTGATCCTCATCAGTTCCCTTAGTTTTTTGTTGGGATATTCTCCCCAGAAGCTATTAATAGCTTCTTTACAAAAAACCTTTCAAACCCAAATGTCTCTTGTGACAATTCGAAGTTCTTACGTTACCAGCGATACGACCCCAATGAGAAGTTCGTTTCGTTGGCGCCTGACTTCGTGGTCAACAAGGCATTTACAGACAACTACAATACATTTCCCACTGCTATGTGTCGTCACTTTGTGACGAATGCACATAACGTTGTTGTTGGTATTGCTAGTTAAAGCAATAAACCAAACAGTATGACCGTGCCTCGTCTACAACTTCAGTAGTGTTTGGCGGGTTATTTGGGATACCATTCGTATTTTGTTTTTGCAAAATAGTCAGGTTTAATCCCAGTTTGTTGTTTTTATAAAAAACAACTATTTATTAGTGGGGAATGTATGGCATTGTCCGCCGAGGGGTAAGGCAGGGAAGACTATAGTTTCGGATCTCGCCACTGATCCTCATCAATTCCCTTAGTTTTTTGTTGGGATATTCTCCCCAGAATGTCCTCGGCGGACAATGCCATACATTCCCCACTAATAAATAGTTGTTTTTTATAAAAACAACAAACTGGGATTAAGCCTGACTATTTTGCAAAAACAAAATGTTCAATATATATACAATAGGAACTAAATTCAGTAAAGTTTAGTACCTTTAGTACACTTATATGTCGAATTTCCAAAAACCCTTTTGCACATCTTTCTAACTTTCCATCAGTGACCAACATTCCAAATTTCAGAATTTTAGCTCTTTCCGTTCGCTAATAAAAAGGGTACCATATTTGGTATATTTTAGTACTTTTCGTATCCTTCTACTTCCAACAAAACTTCCGGCATACCCCGATCCTACACCCCCATAATGATAGTACGAAATTCCAATACTTCTTACTAAACCCACACCCCCACAGTTATCCTAAAACCAAGTTTCAGAATTCTAACTCTATCGGTTCATCCACATTTCAATTTGTACCAAATTTAGTACACTGTAGTACGGATTTCCAAAACTTCCTACTTAACCCAAACCTACACTCCACAGTGATCCTAATCCCAAGATTCCGAATTCCAACGCTATCGGTTCACTCACAATCCAAATTGTACCAAATTTAGTACACAGTAGTATGAATTTCCAAAACCTCCAACTTACCCTAACCCGACAACCCCACAGTGACCCTAAATCCAAGTTTCATGATTACAACTCTATCGGTTCACTCACAATTCAAATTGTACCAAATTTAGTACACAATAGTACGAATTTTCAAAACCTCCAACTTACCCTAACCCTACAACCCCACAGTGACCCTATATCCAAGTTTCAGGATTACAAATCTATCGGTTCACTCACAATTCAATTTGTACCAAATTTAGTACACTGTAGTACGAATTTCCTAAACTTCCTACAGACCCCAATCCTACACCCCCACAGTGATCCTAAATCCAAGTTTCAGGATTCCAACTCTATCGGTTCACCCACAATTCAAATTGTACAAAATTTAGTACATAGTAGTACCAATTTCCAAAACTTCCTACATACCCCAATCCTACACCCCCACAGTGATCCTAAATCCGAGTTTCAGGATTCCAACTCTATCGGTTCATCCACAATTCAATTTGTACCAAATTTAGTACGAATGTAGTACGAATTTCCAAAACTTCCTACATACCCCAATCCTACACCGCCACAGTGATCCTAACTCAAAGTTTCAGGATTCCAGCTCTATCGGTTCACCCACAATTCAAATTGTACCAAATTTAGTATATAGTAGTACCAATTTCCAAAACTTCCTAAATATCTCAATCCTACACCCCCACAGTGATCCTAAATCCAAGTTTCAGGATTCCAACTCTATCGGTTCAACTACAGTTCAAATTGTACGATATTAAGTACACGAATTTCGAAAACTTCTTACTTACCCCAAACAGAGATGCTAAATACAACTTTCAGGATTACAACTCTTTCGGTTCACTCACAATTCAAATTGTACCAAATTTAGTACACAGTAGTACGGATTTCCAAAACTTCCCACTTAACCCAAAATTTCACCCCCAGAGTGATCCTAAATCCATGATTTAAGATTCCAACTCTATCGGTTCACCCACAATTCAAATTGTACCAAATTTAGTACACATTAGTAAAAAATTTTAAAACTTCCTACATATCTCGATCTTACACTAAGTGATCCTGACTCCAAATTTCATGATTCCTGCTCTATTGGTTCGCATAAAATTCAAATTGTACCAAATTTAGTACCATTTAGTACCCATGAATATAAATTACTGAAACTGGGTAAAAAAATCCAAAACTACGTACATTCCCAATCCTATACTCCGACGGTAATGTTAATTTCAAATTTCAGGATTCCAGCTCGATTTGTATCTCCAAATTAAATTTGTACCAAATATAGTATCATATAGTACTTTTCGTACACATGAGTACACGCTTTCAAAACCATCTCCTTAAATGGACTCTACATCTCATCCCTAATTCGCATTCCAAATTTCAAGTTTTTAGCTCTATCAATTCACATGCTACGAAATTGTACAAAATTAAGTACATTTTAGTACTTTTCGGATATTTATAGTTCGAATTTCCAAAAACCCGTACATCTATCCTACACTCAGCGACCACCAATCCAAATTTCAGAGTTCTAGCTCTACCGGTTCGTCAAATACAAATGGTATCACATTTAGTACTTTTTAGTACTTTTCGTACCGTTCTAGTACGAATTTCCAAAAACGCTTTTGTACATCTTCCTAACTTTACATCAGTGACCCACATTCCAAATTTCAGAATTCTAGCTCTTCCCGTTCGCCTAATACAAAGGGTACCATATTTGGTACATTTTAGTACTTTTCGTACCCTTCTAGTTCGAATTTCCAAAAACCCAGCCTTATCTCACGCCTACACACCAACACCAACCCACACTCAAAATTTCAAGCTTCTAGCTTTAGCCGTTTCGTCTGGGCGATGATCTGTCAGTCACTCACTCACTCACTCACTTAACACTAAGCTCTTTTATATATATATAATAGATTTGGAATTAATTTTTTTAAACTATTTGCTAATTTGTATACTCAAAAATTGTAAAATTTCTTCATTTCCTTTGATCAACGCAGATCTATGTTTTTGTATAGCTGTTACAAGTTCACCGGGGGGGCAATTTTGTCGGCATAACTCGACGAATGGGGGCATATCTGATAAGTGGTTAATATTATCTGCCATTCATGCGTTGTACATATTTCGCTAATTTTCTATTTAGAATAAAATAATGTTTTTTTAATTACCATAAAAGCAGAACGATCGGAAACTAAATTCGTTCACATAAACATTACCCCAATGGCCAAAACAGATTTAATACCAATCTGTCCACGAGTTTGATAACTCTACAGTAATAAAAAACATTTATATTTACCATGACGCCATACCAACGTTTATTTCTGCTGATATTACTCTTAAATGGATTGGCTACAATTTTGGTGAGTTCTGTTTTCCTAACGGCAGGCGGAATTTTTTTCAAATACTTCATCTATATGTATTTAAATGTGTAGACAGCAAGACGGCGATTTAATTTGGAATTACACAATATAACCTGTGAAAAATATGGCCCAACCCTAGAGTTTTTCGATTGTGATTTCCGTAAAATCGACAATAATCGCTATCTTGTAAATGCCAAATTTAATATCGTACGTGATTTGGATCAAAATGCCGAAATACAAGTGTTGGCTTATTTTACACCCACCAATAATGTCCTTTCGAAAGCTGTGAAACTTTTCGATTTGAAATTGAAAGTTTGTGAGATTTTAGGTAAAAAGATGTCCGTTCCGCTATTGAATCAGATTATGAATGAAATTCGCAAAAGTGGTAATTATCCATACAGTTGTCCATTGAAGACGGTAAGTATTCGAATGTAGATATATTGACGTTTTGAATAATATGAATTATCTTCCTATTTGCAGAATTATATATACAGTATAAATAATTATTCATTAACTGGAGACATGATACCGGCATACACACCAATTGTAACATTTAATTTTTCATTGATATTCTATGAAAAAAGCAAAGTATTTTCGAAATTTGCATTGTATGGAGCTACGGTCGAAAAGAAATGATGAATTACAAATATTTATGTTTATATGTTAAAAATGAATAATAAAAATGTGATAATGTTGATATCAATATTTATTCTCGCATTCATAGAATTTAAATAGGGCTTAACACCCTTTACCACATTGTGGTTTGTAACATGCAAAGGAAACTAGATAGACCCATAGTTCCATTTGAGAATATGCATAGAATCACTTTCCGAGTCGATTTATGCATGTCCGTCCGTCCGTCTGCCATTTGTTCATGTTAAATTGTAAACAAATTATAGGTCGAATTTATAATCCGATTAGGATGAAATTTGATAGAGCTTATTTATTTGGCCCAAGGACGAACCCTATTGAAATTGGTAAAAATCGGTTTAGATTTAGAAATATATATTTTCGTCCGATTTAATGTAAATGGTGCACCAAAGTCCCTATATCTATCTGAATTAGGTCTAGAATGATGTGTGCTAAGTTTTGTGAAAATCGGTTCAGATTTATATATATAGCTCCCATATATAGTTTCGCCCGATTTTAGGCAAATGACCCTCCAAAGTCGCTATATATCTTTCGATTTGCACGAAATTTGGCACAGCGTAATGAATTAGGTCTAGAATGATGTGTGCTAAGTTTCGTGAAAATCGGTTCAGATTTAGATATACCTTCCATATATGGGAAATTACAAAAATCCTTTAAAATTCCATAATTATACCCTTCACCACATTTTGGTACAGGGTATTATGTCTTTGTGCATATGTTTGTAACAGGCAAAAATAATCGAGATAGACCCATGGTTCCTTTTGAGTATATGCATGGAATCACTTTCTGAGTCGATTTATGCATGTCCGTCCGTCCATGTATTTTTGTAAACAAAGTACAGGTCGCATTTATGATCCGATTTGGATGAAATTTGGCACAGATCATTTAATTGGCCCAAGGACGAACCCTATTGAAATTGGAGAAAATCGGTCCACGTTTACGCATAGCTCCCATATAAGGGTGCCCCCCAATTTTTGGTATTTCGAGGTTATTTAGCGCGTTTTTTAACTGAATTCGCTGAAATTTGGTACTTTGAGTACTTATTGGGTAGCAAATCTCCCTACTAAAAATAAATATAGGTCCATTTTCTCGGAAATTCCTTTCGTTTTATAACTGAATTCTCTGAAATTTTGTACATTGGGTTCTTATTGGGTACCAAATTACTCCACTAAAAATTATAAATATAGGTCCAGTTTTCTGGTAGTCCCGTATTTGATCGTATTTTTCGACCGAATTGACTGTAATTTAGTACGTCGAGTTCTTATTAGGTAGCAAATCTCTCCATTATAAATTATAAATATAGGTCCATTTTTTTCGGGTAGCCCCCATATGAGCGCGTTTTCAACCAAATTCTTTGTAATTTGGTTTTTTGTAGTCGTATATGGTAACAAACCTCCCTTGTGCATTTGTTTATACCAGAAAAAAATCGAAATAGATCGATTTATGCATGTCCGTCCGTCCGTCCGTGCATGTATTTCTGTTAACAAAGTACAGGTCCCATTTATGATTTTGATATAGCTCCCATATATATTTTCGTCCGATTTTAACTTATTGATGCACCAAACTCCCAATAGTGATCCGATTGCGACAAAATACTGAATTAGGTCTAGATAGTTATATGACAAGTTTTGTTGAAATCGGTTCAGATTTAGATATAGCTCCGATTTATAGTTTCGTCCGATTTAATGTAAATAGTGCACCAAACTCCCAATAGTGGACGACTTAAGCAAAATTTTGCACAGAGTACTGAATGTATGTAAAATTTGTTGTAATCGGTACAGATTTATGTAAATGAAGCTCCATACTACCAATATTTATCCGATTGCGACAAAATTTTGCACAGCGTACTAAATCATAGATGAATGCGAAGTTTAGTTGAAATCGGTTCAGATTTAGATATAGCTCCCATATATAGTTTCGTCCGATTTAAAGTTAATTGTGCACCAAAATCCCAGTATTGTTCCGATTGAAGCACAATTTTGCACAGAGAACTGAATTAGGTCCCGACTGATGTATGCGCAATTTCTATATCTACAGGATATTGTAGATATTAACATGTCTTGCATGTACCCATAGTGGTGAAGGGTATCATATAGTCGGCCCCGCCCGACTTTTGAACTTTCCTTACTGTTTTTTTTTATTTTTTTTTTAAATTTCATGATTTTTGGTACATAGGTTAAGGAAAATATGCTGATTCAAAATCGTTCACAAATTCGGATGCTGCGCACAAAAGTTATAGCGGTTTTAAATTATGTATTTCAAATATAAATTAAATTAATTCCTATTTGTTGTAATTCGCGAATTTCTTCACAAATGGTTAAACATTTGTTTTCTTTGCAGTACTAGTCAAATCACTTTGAAATACGGATAAATTGTGGCGAAAAACAAATAGAAGCATGAAGATATCTGAAAATAAAATAAATTTTGTTTTTTGCAAAATAGTCAGGCTGAATCCCAGTTTGTTGTTTTTATAAAAGAAACAACTATTTATTAGTGGGGAATGTATGACATTGTCCGCTGAGGGGTAAGGCAGAGAAGACTATAGTTTCGGATCTCGACACTGATCCTCCTCAGTTCCCTTAGTTTTGTTGGGATATTCTCCCCACAAGCTATTTATCGCTTCTTTACAAAAAACCTTTCAAACCCAAATGTCTCTTGTGACAATTCGAAGTTCTTATGTTACCAGCGGTACGATCCCAATGAGAAGTTCGTTTCGTTGGCGCCTGACTTCGTCAACAAGGCATTTGCAGACAACTACAATACATTTCCCACTGCTATGTGCCGTCACTTTGTGACGAATGTACACAACGTTGTTGTCGGTATTGCTAGTTAAAGCAACAAACCAAACAGTATGACCGTGCCTGCGTCTACAAATTCATTTCGAGGTTGAATTAAGCGACCAAAGTGTGCCGCTCGATGCACTTTACTATGCAAAACCCCTAAAAATTACAAAAAATGGCGCAACGTGCATACGAGTTTTATGCGCATCCGATTTCAGTAATCTTCTATGAAAATACACAAAAGGATACCTATTTTAAAAGGATCGGTTAAGAACCGCGGATGTGCCTCCACAATCGATTTTGGATAAAATAGGCCTATTATTCGCGTATCGATATATTTTTGACCTATTTTCACACAGATTCCAAGAAAAACGCAATTATATACGCGAATTTGTCAAAATAAGTCTTTGCAGTTTTTCCCAAATTCAAGGTACCTATATATTTGGATGCGCGTACTAATTATAAGAAAAATTCAAAAAACACCGAAACTCCGGCTTCGAAAAATCATACATTAGAACCATATTGTCCATGCAACTTATTCACTGATCACATGTACGTACTTTGTGTAGTTTAGTCACAAATCAGGAAGGAACACAAAAAAAACTCGTTGGCTTCAACACATTTTCACCCATTTTTTACGTTACCACCATCACAGCTTCCACCCAAGTTAATATTTATTACCAATATTTTAAGGTTTTGACAAGAACACTTCATTTTATAGAAATGAATTTAAATTATAGGCAATATGTTCATATTTCGCGAGTTATAACTTTGCAAACCTCAGTTTCAAGGAATTTAAAAGATTTTTGTAATTTCCCATATATGTTCGGCCCATTTAATGTAAATATCTTTCGATTTGCACTAAATTTGGCACAGAATTAAAGAATTAAGTCTAGAATGATGTGGGCTAAGTCCCGTGAAAATCGGTTCAGATTTAGATATAGCTCTCATATATAGTTTCGTCCGATTTTATGTAAATGATTTGCACGAAATTTTGCATAGTGAATTGAGTCTAGAATGACGTGTGTCAAGTTTCGAGAAAATCGGATCAGATTTAGATATAGCTCCCATATATATTTTCGTCCGATTTAATGTAAATGGGACACCAAAGTCCATATGTATCTTTCGAAATTTTGCGTAGTATACTGAATTGTGTCTAGAATGATGTGTGTCAAGTTTCGGGAAAATCGGTTCAGATTTAAATATAGCTCCTATATACACTTTCGTCCGATTTAAGATAAATGGGGCACCATATTCCATATATATCTTTCGATTTGCACTAAATTGGGCATAGTGTACTGAATTGAGGCTAGAATGTTGCGTGTCAAGTTTCGAGAAAATCGGGTCAGGTTTAAATATAGCTCCCATATATATGTTCGTCCGATTTAAGGTAAATGGGGCTCCAAAGTCCCTACATATCTCTCAAATTGCACGAAATTTGGCATAGGGTCCTGAATCAGTTCCAGAATGATATGTGCTAAGTTTCGTGATAGTCGCTTCAGACTTAGATATAGCTCCCGATTTAATGTAAATTGTGCACTAAAGACCCAAAGTTTGGACGACCGGCACACAATTGTTGTTGTTGTTCTGCATGTTCATGGGGATTTTCGTGCCTTTGAAGAGGAAATCGGTCCCTACCATAGCTCGTGTGTTAAGTTTCCAGAAAATCGGGTTCGATTTAGATTTAGGTTGGTTCATTTTCATGTCAATGTTCCTTCGAAAAGGCGACGTCTGTTAGGATACATATGTAGAATATTATCAAAGTTGTGAAGGGTATCATATAGTCGGATCATTCATAATACATGCTTTGAAAATCATAAATCCATATTAAGTTATATTATGTAACTAAATTAATGTTTATTTATTTTAACTATAAAATTGAATGTGGTTTTGAAAAGATCCGCTAACGAAGTAGCGGGCATATGCTAGTTAACTTTATAGGTCCATGGTTTTACATATCCCCCTTTCGATATTTTGAAAGACTTAGCCACATTTTTCTATCGAAGTGACTATAATGTGTTTTCAGGTTTCCAGCTGAATAAAATACTTCTTCGAAGATAAGGCCCATGTATTTTAATAGGCCTCATACACTGGTCCAGCTTGATTTTTAATATG